TGAGCAAGACATCAACGAGATCCGAGAGACCTTTTACTACTACCGTAAACGGGTGGAGCCACGACGAGTTCTCGAAGAAGCCCGACTAACAACCATTTCTGCAGCTACAGACTCCACATCGGATTCGAACAATTACGCTACATTCGACATCAAGAAGATCTTGGTCGATGAGGAACCAGACAATGAAAAGCGAGATCCAAACAAGCCCTACACTCTCGGACCCAAAATCTCTGATTGGGATGAGCAAAGAGCTGAGTGGTTGAAGAACAACCCGAACTTTCCCAATTTTATTGGACCCAATAAGCCTAGGGTGTTGTTGGTTACTGGGTCATCGCCAAAACCGTGTGAGAACCCGGTGGGGGATCATTATTTGTTGAAATCGATAAAGAATAAGATTGATTATTGTAGGTTACATGGGGTTGAGATTTTCTACAATATGGCTTTGCTTGATGCGGAACTGGCTGGGTTCTGGGCCAAATTGCCATTGATTAGGAAGCTTTTGTTGATGCATCCAGAGGTGGAGTTTCTGTGGTGGATGGATAGTGATGCCATGTTTACTGATATGGCGTTTGAGGTGCCGTGGGAGCGGTATAAGGACCATAATTTTGTGATGCATGGGTGGAAGGAGATGGTGTATGATCAGAAAAATTGGATTGGGTTGAATACTGGAAGTTTTTTGCTTAGAAATTGTCAGTGGTCTCTGGACATTCTTGATGCCTGGGCACCAATGGGGCCAAAAGGGAAGATTAGGGACGATGCAGGGAAGATATTGACTAGGGAGCTTAAGGGTAGGCCAGTTTTCGAGGCGGATGATCAGTCTGCTATGGTTTATTTGTTGATGAGTCAGAAGGACAAGTGGGGTGATAAGGTGTATCTTGAGAATGCTTATTATTTGCACGGGTACTGGGGTATTTTGGTGGACCGGTATGAGGAGATGATTGAGAGTTACCATCCAGGTCTTGGTGATCATCGGTGGCCTCTTGTGACTCACTTTGTGGGTTGCAAGCCTTGTGGGAAGTTTGGCGATTATCCGGTGGAGAGATGCTTGAAGCAGATGGATAGGGCATTTAATTTTGGGGATAACCAGATTCTGCAGATGTATGGGTTCACTCATAAGTCACTTGCTAGTCGGAGAGTCAAGAGAACGAGGAATGAGACACGCAATCCGCTTGAAGTCAAGGATGAGCTTGGGTTGCTTCACCCTGCATTCAAGGCTGTCAAGGTATCTTCTTCTTGAATGCACATGAAAGGGAGGGCTTCAAATCAAGATTGAGATGCACTTTTCAGCTCATAATTATTTTTGTTGATGGACTTTTAGTTATAATACGTGTCATTTTGTATTCTGGTGTTATTTATACTTGGACTTAGTCCTGGTTGTTGTATTCCTTGATTTATCGCAATCTTATTGTGTTATAGTCTTTAAACTATATGATTTTCAATGGAAAGCATACTCTAATCTGTGTTAACTGTTCTCCAGTTTCACGTTTAGCTGATCTTTGTGTGCAAAAACATCCATTGGATTATGGCTGTTATTTGTAATTTTTTTTTGAATGATGTACATACACCCTTGTTGTTGCACTTCTCTAATAGCTAAGCCTAACCCTTAGAGCATAAGCTCATATTTGACACAACAAGATATGCTTGAACTATCAAAAGTGGCAAAAAATTTTGCATGGAAAGGATGTTCTCATTCAAATTGGGAGAGTAACACAACTAGCACCCAATATAAGAAACGAGAGATACAATTAAATTCAATCTTTCCCACTTGTAGTATGTGCGTCTTGAAGATGCTACTGAGACATAAAATGCAGCAAAGGGCCTGAAATGATTGTGTAGTAACACTTAAATTAACAGTGGACTATATCCTCAAGGTGATGTTATGTAAGGGTTGAATCATGAGATTTCATGGCTGGCTGCTTTCTTGGGGTAGCGAGAAACAGCAATGAAAAGGATATTGAACCAGTAATGGTTGCTTAATTTTCAAAGTTGAATCAAACGTCTTATTCCTACAGAGCCTTGATAGAGAGTTTGCTTATTTGTTTGTTTAAGCTTAGAATAGGCGAGGTAACTGGAAAACAGCCTAATCTGAGTCATCCGGGAAGAGTCAGAATATGATAAGGGAAACTATTGAATCTCTTTGGCTTGCTGCTCATAACCTCATTTGGGTGCTGGGATTCAACATCTCTCATTTCTGATCCTTTCACTTTCACTTTAATGTGGATGATTTATTACAGTAATAACTTTTATAGAGCAGCAGATATGAATCCCATCATTAAAGTGGTTAATGAGGTGATAGATGAGATTTAAGGTTGCTTTCTCTGACAATCGTGGCTTTTAATTCAATGTGTGATTGTAACTGGCTATGCTCTTCGGTCTTCTAATATTTGGTAAACACCTGTTGATGTTCTGCCATGATAGATTTTGTGCTCTGTTGATAGTGCTATTTTATGTAGTGGTGTATTTCATTTAGCGGTTCAGGTTTGTAGAAATGCGGGTCTGAACTTCTGAAACCAGCTATTTTGTTTATTGTTCGTATGTGATGGGCACTTGCTTGGAGTTTCCATTGCTCATGCATGCTAATGTGGTCCTCTCAATTGCATTTTTTCAGATTGTCCCTTTTAATCATGCTGCTTAATTGACAAACAACCCGAATCAGGTATAAATTCAGGATTGCTGTAATCATGAAATGCAGAAAGCTTCAGTTCATGTCTAATTAGTGTATTAGGTGTTTCTTGGGGGGATAAGTCATTAATGTCTTAGGTTGCCCCGGATGGAACAGTTTGGTTGTACAATGATGTTTTGGTATACATTGCCTGACTCTGGATGTGGGTTTTGCATCAATTGAACTAGGTTTTTGATGTACTGAAATGATATGTGACATCCATAACCTCTAAAGTTGCTGTCATGGGATGAACGTAAAATGGCAGCAGGCTAACTTGGTATTTTGTGGTTGCTCTTATATATATGGGATTCAATCAGCCAACTCGTTCATTTTAGGTTACATTCAAAAGAAGCAAAACGCAGTAGCCTCGTACTTTTGGAACTTGAAGATTTTTTATGAGATCGTTAAGGTTTTCGCTTTCTGACATTGATGTTATGCAATGCTACGGAAGTTCATCCTTTGCTAGGCATTTCAGTGACTAATATTTGTATTTTGAGGTTGCAGCCTGTAATCCTCTTTCAAATGTATATTTGGGTTATTATTGACTGTTAGTTCAATTTGACAATCAAAGGGAGCATTTATGTTTTTTACTATATCCATTGGCAATTAGTAATGGCTGGAGATGATTTGTACTGACTTATAATCTTGATGAATCCATTCCTATATTTTTTGGTACTTGACTACGATCAGCCATTATGGGCGCGTATTATTGGTGGGAGTCTTTTGCATTTGGTACGACCTTTTTTATTACCAGTATTTTTAGTAGTATCTTCTTCTGTGATCAGCATAAGAACCATACTGCACCTGTTTCCTGACTTCAGAAGATTTGGATACTCACATCTAGAATCAAAAGCCCTTTTCCGTTTGAAATGAATTTTCATTGCATTACTATTACTATTTCAGTTTGGTATGAGATCTTCATTCCCATAATACTTCATTTTTTGTGCTATTTCTACTAGGAATTTGTTTCCTTCATGAATGAGATTGTCATGGTATTTCATCTTCATCTTCATCTTGTGGGTGGATGATCAATATTAGTAAAATAGAATGTCTTATTTAAATTCTTGACTTAAAAAAACATAACAACGGTCCAGATTATTTAAATTTAACTGTTTATCTTATTACTTACATTTTAATTTTTTAACCACTGGAATTCTTTCTATCGACACTGTAATCCAAAGGCTTAGCCATTGATTATCAAGAGCCTAACCAATGTAGCTTTGCCTTGATAATCAAATATGATTAATATCACAAAAAAAAAAAAAAAGAAATACCATTCGTAATTGAATTAAAAGAGTCAAAATTAATTTCGAGTTTATATTTTTATAATTGGAATTGATTTCAATGAAGTTCAGAATGGTTTAAAAATCTCATAACAATGATGAGAATTTTTTTTTTTCAGCTCAAGTCAATTTTGATGATTGATGATAATTTGGATGCTTCTAAATAAACCATGGAATTCCCATTCCAACATAAAAATCACAAAAAGAAATGCAATTTTTGCTCATATTCTCTAGATCCAAATCAACGGGTGAGATTCTCTGTCACTAGAAAATTAACAGCATCTAAATTACATTTACACCTATTAAATTATTATTCTTATTTTAATTTGCCCTCTCAACTTATCACATTTCTCATATTGTACCATCAACTTTGTAATTAATTTCATACTATCCTAATTATTAACGTGTATTACATTATATATATATATATGTATATATTTTTTTTTTGGGGGAGGGGGAGGGGAAATGAAGCTTAAATTCTTGACCTTAAGAAGATAAAAATTTCATAAGGTAAGAAGTACTATTAGACCAAAGACTCATTAGTTATTAATGTGTATTATATATTTAACGAAAATTTATTTTATTTTGTTCCTCAAATTATGTATTTTTTTTTACTTTACTCAGACACGTTAGCGATTTTCATAAAAAAAAAGTAACAGAAATTTGTGATTGGGGCAATGTAGTGTTAGTTTAAGGTACAATGTCAAAAATTTAATAGTTTAAGGGACACAATGAAAAAAATGATAGTTCAAGTAAATGTAATTTAACCCTCGTGGTTTTGATCAACAGCATCTGCTACAGCAAAGGAGCCGGACGCAAACAACACCTTTTGGACCCACAATAAAATAAATCAGTCCCAGTTCCCCTCCCTGGTCCCACATAAAGTCAATTCAACGTCCTAAAACTTGACACGTCACCAGTTGTACCATATACCACATTTAAGCAACAACACCGAATCATCGAAGAAAATCAGCAAGGCGAGCACAACTTGCTTCTATTGGCTTACGCCTACGCCTCTCTTTCTGTCCCCCTCACTCTCTTTATATACGACAAGAGCGATTGCGGCTCTATAAATACTTCGATTTCGAGCTTTTCTCTCTCCACAGAAACCCTAATTCTCTATTTGTATACAGTATTTGAATAGTAAATAAGAGTATTTGAATCTTAGTCTGAGCTTGAAGAGAGTGATAATGGAGGTTCCAGTAGGGCAGAAGAGCAAACAGCAAGAGTTCACTTTGGTCTCTGTTTCTGAGCTCTCGACGTCGTTTTCAACGGATATGTCTTCGCCTGTTGTTGCTCGGTTCTGCTTCGATTCTGGATTCGCAGAGCTTCGATTGGGCCAAGAATCTGGGCCGAATGATGATAGTAACTTCGATCTTCGAACTGCTCAGGTTAATATTTTCTTTAGAGCGTTTGATTTCACTGTGTTTTGCTAGAAGATTTTAGGCATCGTTTCTATAAATTTGTTTTGGATACGACTTGACTGAGCCTAGTAGTTATAACCAGTTTTTTGGGTGGTGGTGTTGTTTCTGCATATAAGGAAGGTAAAAAAAAATAAATAAATAAAATTTAGAATTTTGTAGTTTTCCTGTATTTCTTGGCAACCAAACAGAGGGGTGAGTGCAGGCTGCAGATAAATATTTTTTAAAGTTAAGCATCAATTAAGCGATATTTTTATGATAATTCAGGACAATCTGAGGCGCCGCCAGTTCACCTTTAGGGGTGGGTGGGTGGGTGGCAAAACATGAACTAAAGAAAATTTAACCAGCAATATGAAGCATTTTATATATTGGGTTCAGATGTACAAAATATGAAAAATATATTGGTCAATGTGTATCTAGGAAGTACGGATACGGATACGAGATAAGGGTACGATAAAATAGGATTAGGATACAGCTGAGATACGTCTATAAATATATATTTATATTTTTACTATTATGTAATGACTTGATGTTTATAATTTTTATTGATTTTTTAACAATAATAAACAATATTAACAAGTTTTTATTTTGAAAAAGTTACCCATTGTTTACTATGATACATCTAACAAGTGAACTTTATTTATTATTGGATACATTTGGTGTGTATTTGATACGTATCTTTGAGTATCTTACAAGTATCGTATCCGATACGGATACGTCGACCTTAACAAAGTATCTGTGCTTCTTAGATCTATATTGTAAGGATCCACAGTTGATGAACCCCAAATCCCCATGAGAGCAATTTATATAATCAAATTTCAGCGTATGTGTGACTTCAACGGATAAAGATAAAAAAATTTCCAAAAAAAAAAAAAGGATAAAGAGCAAAGGTTTAGATAAAACAAATCTTACTAGAAGAAAAGCTGGAAAGTCTGTCTAAAAAGAAAACTGTAAAGAAAGGACCTGATTGAACAAGAGATATTGGTAAATACAACATAAAGACTGATGGATGCAGGCAGGGACAGGCTGAAACTTGAACTCTAAGACAAGTAAGACTGAACCAAACATTTGCTCAGTTTCCTCCTTTTTCACCGTATATTGTATCATTGATATCATTTTGGTTCTATGTTGTAAAACTATGTCATGCAATTGATCATAATGTTGACTAAGAATGTTATACAAAGCTCATTAGTTTACATAGGCATAAATGGCAAACAGCAAGTTAAACCTAACAAGTGGTATACACATGGCAAGTGGTTACTCCTATAATTTATAGCTTGTTGAACGACTAGGTGAGGTTGTAATTTTAATGCCCAAGACTTGGATGGGACATGTGCATCACTTTTTTTTGAAGGGCCATTGACCAAAGCTCTTCAAAACTTTCAGGAAGCCTATGCTAAAGGGTAGGCCCTTACACATACCTAGGGGCTTCCCAAATATCCCCCCCCCCCC